CTGTGACGCAGCAGGTTCACGCCCAGCCTATGTGATATTATATAATAATATTAATATTTCCCTATGCCACCATGAAGAAGTCATATCTGTGCTTGGAGCACATAATGCCCCCCGCCCTCCCCCCAATATCGGGCTAATGCTAATCGTCATTATTAGCGCCCTTCAAAATTCAGGCTAAACTCTAGACAGAATTGTCTTCGTATTGTAACTGTCAGTATACTGTCACAAAGAACAAATGTTCACCTAAGAGTGAAATAAATTTACTCACCAGTTTTTTCCAGTGGCGATTGCTCTCGGACTGCAAGGGAAGCTCAGCTTCCCCTAAAATGTCAAAGAATAAGTGATCAAATATAGGAATGTAAATTTCATTGTGTATACATGTCATTGACAAAATATGCGCTACAACGTGCTCAACTTTTGTTCTGAATCAGCTTCTTCTTAAGTCATTTTTCCATCATAGACAGACAGTTAAAACAATCAAATTATATATTGTGGGCCAAGGTATATATTTTCTGTGGTGTAATTTAACGATGGTTAAATTACAGTTTAGAGTGTGTTTTATTTACTCGTGAGATTTTTTTTCAGATTCCACATGATACAATATATTGACATGTGTTTTTGGTTCCTGTGCTATCTTGGGACACATTTCCTGCAAAATGTACAGGAATTTTGCTGTTCCAGTAATGCTTGCAGATTTAAAGATCAGTTGAGAAACTCAACCTCAGACAAGTAACCTGTGTGGATTAGGTGAATCGGAGCCAGCTGTTATGCAACCCTATTACTTTCCTGCATATTCATAAAAGTCCGATATTTTGCAGTGCAAAATCTCACATTTCCATTGAGTCAAGAGCTGTGAAATCAGAAATACTGAAATGAATGTCACCTGTTGCCTTTGTATGGCTTCTGGCTGGGTTTTGCATTGAAGATCATGTGGGAGGTTCAGGGACATCCAGAGGGAGCCGCTGCTCCTTTCAATGAAGAAGAGTCTTGGATGCATCATTGTTGCCTCATGGAGGAGCTGTTGCACTCCAGTCACATCTAAGCGGATAGAAGTCTCAGCCGGAAAATCTTATGGTATACAATAACTAAATACTTTAGTGTATTAGCGGAGAAGGTAAGGCTTTGTGTTGATTTGCTGAATCTGCTCTCACATTGGTCTAAGCATGAGCTAGCACAGGCATTGAAAGACTCCTGACATTATGTGAGAAAGTCCATCCATCCATTTTCCGATCCGCTTTATCCTCACAAGGGTCGTGGGGGGTGCTGGAGCCTATCCCAGCTGTCCTCGGGCAGTAGGCAGGGGACACCCTGAACCGGTTGCCAGCCAATCGCAGGGCACACAGAGACGAACAACCATCCGCGCTCACACTCACACCAAGGGACAATTTAGAGCAAGGGTGCCCGTTACGTCGATCCTGATCGACCTGTAGATCGCGGACTGGTCCCAAGCAGATCCGAGGGGTGTAGACTGTAGAGGAGAAAAAAAACAAACAACCATTTGTGTGTCTTTGTACATGTTAGAAATATATTTTTGTGTTAATGTACACTGCACCCTAATCATCCTAACAGTCTCATTTTCACAAAAAATAATTAAAAAATAAAATAAAATAAATCTTTAACCTACAGTGGCGCGTGACCTACGTCACCGGAAGTTGTTAGCACTCAGCAGTCTGCAATTGCAGCTTGTGACGAGAGCTGTTGCGCTATATCTTTTATCGTCATTATTCTCATTCAGAGTTTGCTTTGTGTACAATTCACCGAGGGCACAGGCAAAGAACAGTAATCTCGAGGGTCCAGGGAAGCACTTTAAAACGGTATATGTGAGCTACGACAGTTAACAGGCTGCAAAAATGCATCACATGCCTCCGTGTCAAGCTGTTTCTCATCATGTCGTGCGTGCGTGCGTGCGCGGTAAGCGGCGATCCCGGGAGGTTGGTTGATCGAAAAGTCGATCTTCGGTCCAAAAAGTTTGGGCACCCCTGATTTAGACTGTTCAATCAGTCTCCCATGCATGTTTTTGGAATGTGGGAGGAAACCAGAGTATCCGGAGAAAATCCACACCGGCCCGGGGAGAACATGCAAACTCCACACAGGGAGGCCGGAGCTGGAATTGAACCCAGTAGCTCTGCACTGTGAGGTCAAGGCGCAAACCACTGGACCGCCGGGCCGCCTTATGTGAGAAAGTGCATGTAAAAAATATGACACAAGGCTTGGGAGTGAAAAACAGGAGGAACAAAAGCAGTATTGAGGGAGACAATTCAGCCCCCAAACCTGAGGTAAAAATAGCAAATGAGAAGCATAGGAGGGTCAAGTTGGAGACCCTCGTAAGCTTCATACCTTTGGATTCATTGCCACGTTACTATTCTCATTTCATTGTGTCTGTCTATTTCATGTTTACATGTTGTTCGTCTGCTTCTTCTTTTCCCAAATCAGTGTTGGTGACGTCAATACCATGAAAGAGAAAGACTGAGTTTGTCTTTATCGGAAAGGGCTTTAGCAGTCTTTTATAACCACCACACACCCTTTTGATTTGTATTTGTAGTGTTTGGATAGGTGTGCCAGTGATGTGTTCAGAACTGAAAGTCATAAACCAAAGTCTATTGGATAAGATTAAGGGGACAATATATAAATGTCCTCATCCATAATGCTTGTCTTGTTTCCAATTGCTAATGTCACAGTATTCTAATGTGCAAATAACCTTGATGGTGTCTCATTTTATACTCAGGTTACCAAGAAGTTTTGGTTTAAAAACCATGTCTAGATAGAGATTACAAAATAAGACCCATAAACATTCACAAAAACCCTCTGTTATTATGTATCCATCCATTTTCTGATCCGCTTTATCTTCACAAGGGTCACGAGGCGTGCTGGAGCCTATCCCAGCCATCTTTGGGCAGTAGGTGGGGGAAACCCTGAACCGGTTGCCAGCCAATCGCAGGGCAGACACAGACGAACAACCATCCACGCTCACACTCACACCTTGAGACAATTTGGAGTGTTCACTCAGCCTGCCATGCATGTTTTTGGAATGTGGGAGGAAACGGGAGTACCCGGTATGATTGGCTGGCCACCAATTCAGGGTGTACTACTGCCCGAAGACAGCTGCGATAGGCTCCAGCATGTCCCATCACCCTTGTGAGGATAAGCGGACCAGAAAAGGGATGAATAGTTCCCACCCCCCCCAAAAAAAAAAAAAAAATCAATATAGAAACCATGTAAAAGCTGTCATTTTGTTGACATTAACAAAGAAGTAACCCAAAGATGACATGACCTGATAATTATGGCGAAACAATACATTGTGGTAGAATGGTCAAGTGCTGTGCTTTTGTTTTGAAACAAAATGGTGGCTTGTGAATGAAGCCAGTGTGCATCGGTGCGAAGACTGTTTGTGTGAAGCTCTTTATTTGGGAGGGCTTAAATGGGGACAGCTCATTAAGGAGGTCCTCTGAAAAGGGAATCATCAGAATGCTTGAATGATGATACATATTGGACTTGGGCAAGCTCCCATTGGGTTTGACCGGTTCAGCCATTTTGTTGGTTGGCCACACTGGACACTGTAGATCCAATATGGAACCTTGCCCCGCAGTCCTGCCCATCTCTCACGACTTCCCTCCCACATACGTGTGAGAGAAAGCAACAGTGGAAAACTTGATCACATGTCAAGTTTTACATTTCCTGAGTTGCTTTTGGGTGTTTTGATTGCCTCTGTGCCCATGGAGGAGGACTGCTGACACATCATTGGCTCTTGTATGTGTTAATCATTTGTTTTTATAGAGACAGTTATCACTTGAAGGAACAAGTGCCAAAGGTCTCCTCATAACATTGGAGGGAGAAAAGCCTTCTGTGTGTGTCGCCGGGTAAGTTTGATTCCGGCATTTTAAAATCAAATATGATTTTGTGTTTTTGATGATGTTCTAATCTATAAACATGTGATATGATCAGAAAGTCGCTAAAATAAATTGAAATCATTATTCACTGTCAAGAATGATTGTATAGATTGTATTTAGTAATATATACAACTCGTTATTCAGTTCCCAAAGTGGAATGTACAGTAAAAGATTTTACTCTTGAAATTCAATGAATGTCGCAAGCAATTTGCGATTTTTTTAAGAATATCTTCAGTTTAATGGCAGGTTTCAACGGCATACCCACTTTACCATCAATTCATGGATAACGCTAATCTCAAGTCTCTTTTCGCACCAACCCAACCCAGTGATGACACAACAGCTTTAATAAACTGGTCGCAATGGCCAAACATGCTTTCTGTCCATCTTAAAGTCCCATAAATCCGTGAGGGCAGAGTTTCTTGACCATGAGGTGTTGAATGAATATTTTCAAGATCATTATGTTTGTACTTCTACGGACAGACAACCATTCACTCTCACACTCACATCACCGCAGTCAGGTGACTGTACCAATACACAGTGACGTATTTCATATACCGTATTATGTAACTATACTATCTTGTATAATACACAATATTTCAGTGATGTGTCACAAGGGGTCTATTTGAATACAGTATGAAGCAGTTTGAATGTGGGAGCTATTAAATTGAGTTAGTAATGGCATGAAATACAACTCTCTTATAAAACCTCAGCAGATGTATTGTATTACAGTACATATGGCACAATGCATCAGTATTGTGTCATATGTACTGGCCCATTTAATAATGTATTGTTCATAACTCAGTAACTCGTAGGTGTGTCGGTTCACCACTGATGCAAACAGTGGCGCTTAATCTAAATTCTTATTCCATGCGAATGAGGCGACTCATGTCAGTCGCCTAAGTATGTCAGTTAGTGCTGTTTTAGCCATGTTATTAAAAAAAAAAAAATCAAGCACATTTAAAACATTGGAAAACAGTGCATTGCTGTAGCCTCACTATTCTACCGACTGCTGTCAGGCTGCTGAATAAAAAATGAAATGATGTGACAAACATTGGTAAATAACACAGCCACCTTATCTTTATCTGTGAATGCAAAAGCTTTGTTTTTTCTTCTTTCTTCTTTCTACCCACAATCTTGCTGCTATAGACTGTAAATTTCCTCAGTGTGGGACAAATAAAGGATATCTTATTCAGCGCTGCTTTATTCTCATTCTTTATTTTCAGCAATTAGCTGCAAACATGTGTCATGATTGAGAAATTAATCTCTGAAATGACTTTGCAGGGTCTTTAAAAATCAAGTAGTTTTTGCCTTTGACTGATATTAAAAATTAGCCAGAGGAGGATTATTATTTTCATTTTATTTTCGCAGCCATGGAGTGGATCCCTGCAGCTTTCCTGCTGTTGTGTGCTGTCAGCCTAATTCATGGTGTGTATTGGTTTATTGACTTCCTTACCATGAGAACTCTACTGTATCTATGCAACATTAATGAGAATTTTGTGTTTTTGTTGTTTTTTTTTTTTAAATAGCAAAGAACAAGCCTACAATTCACACTGTAGTCGCTAACGTGTGCGAAGACACTCCACCTGGTAGGTTTTCCACCAAGTGGTTCCGTTTAACCTCATTGCTGCTCTACTAACTACAAACTGTTAATCACAACATCTCCACAGGTGCTCATGCATTCAGAATAGATGCAACAGATAAAGATAACGACCCACTGACGTATTCACTCTATGGGGAAAATGCCACGTACTTCAGTGTGGACAATACGACCGGAGATGTGATTGTTGCAAGGAAGCTTGACAGAGAGGTTTTTCTTTTTTTTTTTTTTTTTTAATATGATCATGCTTACAATTAAATTGGGTTCAAGAATACCAGGCACTATCTCTTTTTTTTTCCAGGTTTATAATTTATTGACACTTGGAATTTCAGTTTCAGATGGGAACGAATTTGTGAGTAAATTTGAACACTTTTTTGTAATCAGTCCGATATGACATTAATGGAGTGTTTTGCACACTGTTTCAGGTAAGGAAAAATATGAGAGTTATTTTGAAGGAAGCCAATGACAACAGACCCATATTTCAAGGCTCTAATTTTGACATCGAAGTGAAAGAGGTTTGTCGGACATCTTTTATTGAGTGGTCTTAATTGATCATCTTTTTATTCCAAGAACAATAAATTAAATGAGTATGTATATGTATTAGTGTGCGTGCCTGTACCTGCCTGACTTCTCGAATACTGTAATTACATTGCATGATGAGTTATGCTCCTCAATCATCAATTTTGTAAGCAGGGATGCTGTTATTGTATTACATTCTTATAGCCATCATTAATCATTGCTAAAAAATGTACAGCATTTTAAGGTGATAATTCCTTCTCCTCTACCCTCTTTCTTAGAATACGACAACAGGTACAAGTCTGTTTAGAGTGCAGGCCACTGACCAAGACATTTTACAAGCTGGTCAGATCAAATACAGCATTGCTGATGTGAGTACCATCGCTAATCTGCAATTTGTCAATAATAATAACAATATAATTCTACAGTTTCCGATAAACTTTGGTCAATTAAAACTTTCACTTTATTTTCCAGGTTACCCCGAGTAATGGATTGAGTCTATTTAGCATTGCTCCTGAAACTGGTGATGTCACATTGACTGGGGCACTAAATTACACTGGACTCAGTAGTTATTATCGGATGAAGATAAATGCAACTGTGAGTCACTGATTTTATTGGTTTGCTGTTATTCTAAAACATGTAATTTCATAAACTATGTTAGCGTTTATATTTAAATTTATGTTACCTTTTGAAAACACTCAGGGCTCTCTTTTGGTTTACCAACAAAAATCCGGGGAGCACGTGGTGTAAATCTGGCAGGCAATGTTAGTCCAGGTGTTGTTAATTTTAAAGATGCGCGCAAGCTGGCGTATTTAAAAAAAAAAAAAAAAAAAAAAAAAGCTCTGGCTGCACCGTTATAGGAGTGAACATAACCAACTCCATTCGCCGCCACCAAAATGTCTCTTCCTATTCCTTTTAAATGAGTAGCACTCACATCTCTCATTTATCTTCAATGTTCATTAATTGAAGATGCAATCATGTTTTTCCCTTTTCAAAACAATCAACACCTTTGCATTTCATAATTCTTTAGCATTTTTCCTGGGGCGGTAGGGGGGGGGGGGCAATACTGAACATTACATTTGTTCTTTTAACAAAGCATAATTTAACTTTACCAGCCAAGAAATATCTGCATTACTTGGAGAAGCAATGCAGCAAAATTTGAACAGAATTGTGACTTTCTACATTTCCCATTACAGGATGGTGGGGGCCAGTGTTTTTACAGTGAGATTAATTATCACTCAAACATTGTTTTTTACTTTATTACTGTTTTGGATGTTCCGGATCTCGACCCCAAATTCTTGGGCCTTCCCTACATCGGGAGTGTTGATGAAAATTCTGCGGTGGTGAGTTCCTGCTCATCAGCATGTGCCTTGAGCAAAGGAGCCATGCATTCTGCAGTATTGTATTTTATAGTCAAAGGCATTTTGAATTCTAACCTGAAAATGTATTTGATCTTTTGATAGGACCATGCCGTTTATACCGTGACAGCCATTGACCAAGACACAGAAATTAATGACAGGATCATCTACAGCATTGAAGGTGATGGTGAAGAAAGTATTATTGTTTACTTTCAATGAAGAAGAGTGAATTACAGTAATAGTCAGAAGTTTAGAAACACTCTCCAATTTAGTTTTTTTCACTATTTAAATATTTCCTGAATTGTACATTCATATTTAAATCAATGAGATTATGAAGAATTGTTGATGGAATTATTCATTTCAAAAACAGAATAGGTTGTATCATTAAGATTCTTCAAAGTAGGCAGCTTTTGCCAGTTAACAGCTTTGTACGTCTTGGTATTTTCTCCATCGTCTTTTTCATGTGGATGATGCTTCATGACCTCAAATCATTTTCACTTCACAGCAGTGAATTATCAACAGTTGATTGCTTGAATATCTTGACCTCTTCATATGTTTGAGACAATTCGAATTTGAAGGTGTTTCCAAACTCTTGACTGATACTGTATGTCAATCCACCCCCCATCCCCCCAACGAATGACAGATTCCAAAGGCCTCTTTAAAATCTCTAGCGATGATGGCGTTATTTCTGTGGCGTCGGAAATCGACAGAGAAGAAATTGGTGACCGTGTTACCATGATTATCAAGGTATGCGATGTTTAAAGTTATGAGTAACGTAATAAAATTTACCAGACCGCTCGTCATCATTCTTGATGAGGTCATTTTTTTGTATGTCCACATGTTTTGTGACATTAGGCCACTGAGTCCCAGCCCAACATCCACGGGGAGTACGCCAGCACCACAGCCTCAATACAGATCAACATCAATGACATCAATGACAACAAACCAGAGTTTTACAAGTGCGAAGGCTCGGGAGAGCTGCAAACCTGTGAACAAGAGAGTCAATTTGAAGTGGTCGTAGCTGAGCACTCACTGGGAGGTGTGCCCATTAAAATGATGGTCAAGGACAAAGACAAGGTGACAACTTCCTACGGGTTCCGTCTCTCAGAATTGTGCTGATGGTTAAATAAAACCCTATTTTGTCATTTCATAGATTAAAAGCATTCGACTAACCCTGAAGGGAGCTGACAAGGACGTGTTTTCTGTCGAGCCCCAATTTTCGATGGTCGACAGCGTTGTTCAACTTGTGGTCAAAGAGCCACAAAAACTGGATTATGAAGAAACGCAGCGAATGGTTGTAGAGGTAAGGCGAGTACAGAAGGCACAAACAGTGACGGGGGCAAAGGGATGACATTGGAGCATTTGACTTAGTCGGTGCTCTGATCTCCCAGCGATGCCGCATCACTCAGAGCCACATCATCGCTTGTCAGTCTGTGGTCCTTGCTCTAAGTATTTCAGAAAAAAGACTGCTGGGACTGACTTAAATTAGAAACGATTTCAATGTGCATCCTTTTGGAATAAGCTACACGTTTTGTCTAGAAATTTGAATCAGCTGAGTAAATCTATGTTAAATGCTGTGCAAAATTTGACTGCTGTACATTGTTACCCATTTTACTACCTGTACTTTCTTTGCCCTGATTACAATATTATGTAAGAGTAATATGTTTAAAAAAATACAATTTTAAGGAAAAAAAAAAGACAGTACATTCAAACCTAGCAAGAGGATCCCAACATGATCCATCGACTTTAGAAAAATGTCCCCAGAGGAATGTAGTCTAATAAAAATAATCCTTATCGAGTCAAACAATTACTTGTATAGCGCGTTAATGGTACAACCAATGATTTTCTTAACAGTCATGCAAGTGTAAGAAAAATCATAATACATACTGAATAAAAATAACATCAAATTAAATTACTTAGCCTTTTCTTCTGTGGGGCATCACAAAACAGCGCAATTCTTTTTCTGTACCATTTATCGTTACTAAACAAACAAACAAAAAAAAAAACACGAAAAACATCTTTGGCACTTTGGAACCCTCCCCTTTGACAAATGTATATATTTTTTTGTACGGTATTTGGGCTGAAATAAGGTGTTGACTGTGTCATTCCACAGGTGATTGCCAGCGATCCAGAAGAAATTACTTTTGTCTCGACTGCCACAGTCACGATTATGATACAAGACATCAATGACAACAACCCCAAGTTCCCGAAGGATTCCTACTTAAACTTAAATGTGAGCGAGCACTCTGAAGTTGACACCGTCGTGGCCACGATCACCGTAAGTCCAATGAGTTGCAACTCAGTTGGAATCTTCAGCTAAAATACTGTCGGTGCAGTGTGCAGTATGGTTGAGAAAAAAAAAAAAAGAGCATGTATACTTCCAGGCAGATGATCCTGACACGATGGACAAAGACAACATCACCTACATGCTTCTCCCAGAAAGCATGTACGTCTCCATCACACTTCAGCTACTTCAGTGAAAACAACATCTAATTTTGACGGAGGCACGCCATGAACCAAGCCGTATCTGTGTTTCAGGCGAACTTATTTTGACGTGGAGCCAAAGACGGGTGTGATTTACGTGAAAAACAAGACGCTCTTGGATCGCGAAATCCGACCTTTGCACTCTGCCACTCTTCAAGCCAAAGATTCGGATGGCAAGCCTGCCACCGCATTACTGCAGTTCATAGTGACGGACATCAACGACCAGCCTCCGGTCATCAACAAAGAATATTATCAGGAGTTTGTAAAAGAGGGTTCACAGCTCGAACTTCAAGTCGAAGTAAGTAACAATTGTTTATTGAGTTTCTTTAAGAGAGTATTTCTTCAGGTCGAGGGTTTTATTCAAACAAAACCCACCCGGTTTCTTTGATGTATGCATTGGTTTGTGTATTCAAATTTCCTTGGGAGGGTTGGAAAATATAACAAGATCAGCCGTGCTGCTGGAGTTGATTATTGTTGTTGAATTTGCTTGGGCACAAAACGCTTTTGGACATACAGTATGTGCTCCGTTCCAACCATTAGACCGGCAAACATTCGCCGACGGGGGAGGGAAGGCTCCTGACAAACATTCTCATCCAGCAGCACATATGCTTCGCAAAAAAAAAAAAAAATCAACAATATGTTCTTTTAAAATAAATCCCAGTACCGGTGGTTGGGAACCTCTGTGCTCAATAAATAAATCCTATAGATAGAGCATTTGTATCTTGTATCTTTACAAAATAGGCAGAACACTCTTCACATACTGGCAATAAAAGATGATTTCATTGTGTTTGGACAATAAAATGTGGTTGTGGTAGAGTATTCTGGAGTGACCCTTCCCTCCTCTGTCAGGGAAGTGTACAGTTTTTGAGTGGTATATAGAGCACTCATCCTCGTTCTTCAGTGTCCTTCTGTTAGCATAATCTGCTCCAACTAAATTTCCCGTTCCATCCTGAAGATATTTTCTCCACTTAAAATAGGCGACTGATGCAGATGAGCCTGGCACATTGAACAGTCAAATCGTGTTCGCAATACTGCCAAGCAAGTACAGCGAATACTTCAGCATGGATCCCAATACCGGAGTGCTGAGGAACCAGGTTGAACTGGACCGTGAGGATTTGGATGCTGAGCTGAAGGGCAAGATCGAGCTCAACGTGACCGCCACAGACATGGGTACGCCTGCCTTGTCAACCATGGTCAGCGTGATCATCAATGTGGAGGTATGTATGGCTGCAGCAGGTTGAGTTGGAAGGCTGTGTTGGGCTGCAAAAACTCATTCGCATTAAATATTCCTCATCTCGTATCCCAGGATGTCAATGACAACCCACCAGAGTTTAAGAACTCCTCATATAAATTCAGTGTAAAAGAGGGGGAAAAAGGTCGGTATATACCCTTGTAAATTTGGTGTGTTTACTGCAATTTCTAAGTGGTGCGCCATTTTCTGCAACCAGGTGCGTACGTGGGCACGGTCCTGGCTCAAGATTTGGACCAAACAACCGACTTCAACCGGATAGCTCTTCGAATCATCTCCGGAAGTTTTGACAGTTTCGCCATTGTCACCACTTTGGAAGAGCAAGTTTACCTGGGAAACATCACAGTGGACCTGGGCGTCGATCTGGACTATGAGGGCGCTCGGCAAAAATACACGCTGCAGGTAGAAGCCACAGATCGGGGACAGAAAAAAGCAGTGGCGACGGTGGAGGTGGATGTGTTGGACGTGAACGATGAAAGGCCTGAGTTCTTGCCATCAAAGCCTGCGAAAGTGAAAGAAAACACGACGCTGACTGAAGCCATTGGGAAATTTGAGGCGAGGGATCAAGACGGAAACCACTCACTGACCTACGAGATGGAGTCCCTCAAATGCCGATGCAATGGCTCTCTGTCACCTTGTGACTGGTTTGTCTTGGAGCCGACGGGAGACGTGCTGGTCAATCCAGGACGCACGCTGGATTATGAAATGTGCGACCGGGCGGTGATGGAGGCTCAGGTCATAGACGAGTACACTGAAAAAGGGGAGAATTACAGTCTCATTGCAGGTCTGCTCACTTCAAGCACATACATACTCACACAGAAATGTATTCTTGGTTTCAGGGCAGTGAGAACGTGAATCTCATTTTTTCTCTCTCATAGCCCTGGTTTGGGAATTCGGGTTTTTCCCCCAGCTTGTTCACCACACATTTTGGTGGGAAGGTTTCCTCATTTGTTATCCGAGAACTTTTGCGTGATTGGTTCGGAATTTGAAGTGGTAATGGTTAATGTGGTCACGTGGAAATGCCATCCCGTTATTTTATTTTATTTTTTTAGAAGCAACAGCTGACAAAAAAACAAACCAAAAAAAAAAAGGATCAGCTGTCTGCTTTTCTACAATACGTCTTGCAAGGAATACAAAAATACGCAAGGAGCGTGAAGAACAAATCTTGTCCTCACCCCTTGAAAACAACAAATTCCTTTGTGGAGTATGTATAGGCCTTCACACTAACAGCACGTTTCATCGATTTTAAATAGCACAGAGTTAACGTTCTTTGCAACATTTCAGGACAAATGGAGATCATCATTGAAGACATCAATGACAACGCCCCGCATTTCATCATCTCAGATTCTATCTTTGGTGGGTTCTTTCGTTTTTTTTTTTTGTTGTTGTTGTTGTTGTTGTCCACCTTTTTAAAATGTACTACTTTTGCATATATTTCTAATACAACACACACAGAAATAGACATGAAATAGCCACAGTTATGTCATTCTGTTTGTTGTAACTGCATCAGCACTATGGCCGGGGTAGTACTTTGCTCGCCTGACTTAGGTGACACTTCCCACCATCTGTCTGTGTCCTTTTCGTGACTGGCAACTAGTCCAAGGTGTAGCCTGCCTTTCGAGCAAAGTCAGCCAGTAAAGGCTTCAACTTCCTATAATCTTGAAAAGGATAAGCGGAAAAGAAAATGGATGGATGGATGTATTGTATCAGCAAGGACTGCAAAGCCAATCAAAGGCAGTACAGGTAGACTATACGGGAAGGCGCAACTTAACTCATTCAGTACCAGCCAATTCTGGACCAAGTCTGAAAAGATGTTTAAAAACGTCTTTGAGAGTGAACGAGTTAAACAGAAATAATAATAAGAAGAATACATTTTATTTATGAGCGCCTTTCAAAACACTCAAGGACACTTTACAATCAGGAACAAGAACAATAAAATGCATGCTGCGTCATGCTAGGCCCCGAAAAGTCGAGGGAATAGAACAATGCGAAATGTAAATAAAGCAGACAGCGTTTTATAATGATCTGGCATTCCATTTTCTCAGTCGGCATATATTCTTAAAACTACACTCTGGCTTGCGTTTTTTTAGTCTTCTGAATTTAGAAATGGTACCCGTCCAAATTTTCTGCCGGTGACTGTCAGGCCATTACAAGCAGCACACTGATGGTTTCTGCCACACACTCTGTATTTCGACATTGGTTAGAGGACGTGTCGCGGTTGTATGTTTTTAATAGTAGACGGCACCCTGTAGTTAAGATCAGTAAACTCTTACTTTACTTACTCAAGCATCATATAAAAATCACAATCTTGATTCAGCAACATTGCTCAAAGTAAGTGCTTCTTTCTTTAGCTGTGGTCTCAGAAACTGCAAGCAAGGGGACATCAGTTGGGGGAGTCACTGTGAGTATAAATGAACGTATATATCAAGCCCATGAACGCAATGTGACTGTTCAACGTATCGTTGCCCGCAGGCAACGGATCGGGATACAGAAATTCACGCACAGCTTGAGTTTCAAGTGAGTGAAGTGAAATTTGAGGACGCCAACAAAAACATAAGTGTCACGAGGTCTCTGTTTGAGGCAGTTACCACGCAGCAAAAGGACATTTACATTGGGATTATTCAGTGAGTGCAAAGTCAGCAGCTTTTCTGCATGTCTCTTCACTGAGCATGTTTGGGTCTTGTCACAGACTGTACATCTTCTTCCCTCTTGCCTACAGAACCACCGAGGGTCTTGATGTCACTTTGAAGGGGAAATATTTGGTCACAGTGTCTGCAACCGACTCCGGTGGCCTCTCCACCCACACTACACTGGAGGTGAGTGAATGACTCCTTTATCACAGATAAGGAAAATATGCTTGAATATGTATGAAACAGACTCCAGCATTCCTAAACTTCCATGTCAACATTGCAGATTTTCACAGTTGACAAGTCTTACAGAGTTGAACTTCAATTTAGAAATACTCGTGACGAGGTTGTAAAAAATCAACCTGCCATAATCAGGTATGTGGACAATATTTATAGTTCACCATGTTTCTCTTTCCAAACCAAAAGGTGGTGCCAGATGTCATCTCTCTTCGTCAACTACATTCTTTTGTATAGGGGTAAATTTGAAGTAAAAATACCTTTTTTTCCCCGCAAGCCAACCACTTTGTCTCTCTCCAGAACACTTACAGCTGCCACCAAAGCTGTCGTTGAGGTTGTTGCCATTAGGGACGGCGCTACTGAAGAGTCCAGGTGAATTATTATTGTTTTACACCATCTGAAAATGACTCGGCTCTAAAATTCCAGGCTCGTGGGGACAATGCTGCAAATTGAGAGATGATTTCACCCAGTAGGGGGTGCAAGTGTTCTTTTTAACAACCGTATTGTTCACGCTTGAAGACCAACATATTTATTTGACAGAAATCATTTTTTCCTCACAGGGCTTCAGTTGGTGCAGTAATGGTGGCATATTTTCTCTTTTCCAATGGGACTGCTCTCCCTAAATCTGAAGTGGAGTTGATGATTTCTGTACCCCAGCACGCTCATCTGTTGGACCAGTTAGGCCTCATGTACATTGTAAGTATTAGATGTGTGTCTCTTGACTTTTTTGCTCATGTTTCTTTCATCCTAAATTCACTGGACAGCAAATAGCATAAGAGTAAACCCCTCTCCGTTGCGTGTTCCAGGTTTGAGGTTTCACTATTTCACAGATTTAGTAATTTATTAAAACAAATTGGTGGCCACTCATCAAAACAGGACCAGAAAATGTTCATTTATGGCCACAAATGAGGTATCGCCGATGCACAAAATTGTCGCGTGCGCCGCTGTATATACAGTCATGGAAGGAATGAAGAGAGCAGCTTCTTTTCTTTTGTTTCTTTTCAACAACAAAACGTATGAGAGAAAAGTGGTTCAGATTACACAACTGTCCGTGTTTTTATGTTTGTGTGAACTGTTTTGTTAAGCACTTTGTTACAGCTGCTGCTGTTGTGAAAGCGCTATATAAATCAGGATGTATTGTATTGTATTGTAATAACACTATTTTAGTGTAACTCTACTGTATATTGGGAGTACTGCAATTCCACTTAGGACCACTTAAATGGTGGCACACATATACTGTACTGAGTTTGAGACCATGAAAGAAGAACCAAATCGGACGCACTGTATTGCAGCCAGTGCAGAAGTCGTAGGTTTCATCCTGGCTCCGGCCTCCCTGTGTGGAGTTTGCATGTTCTCCCCGTGCCTGCGTGGGTTTTCTCTGGGTACTCCGGTTTCCTCCCACATTCCAAAAACATGCATGGCAGGCTGATTGAACACTCTAAATTGTCCCTGGGTGTGAGTGTGAGCACGGATGGTTGTTCGTCTCTGTGTGCCCTGCGATTGGCTGGCAACCGGTTCAGGGTGTCCCCTGCCTACTGCCCGAAGACAGCTGGGATAGGCTCCAGCAGCCCCGCGACCCTTGTGGGGATAAGCGGAATGGAAAATGGATGACTGAATGAATGAATGAATTTTAAAAGTGTTATTGTAAGTGGGTGTTACATTTTGTGGGGGTGGTCTGGAAGTCAGGTCAGCTGAAGCCTATCCCAGTTGACTTTGGGTGAAGGTAGGGCGGACACTTCAGACTTTTTGCCAGTCAATTGCAGGGCACATATGAAAAAAAAAAAAATCACGCTCACGTGAACAATTGCAATTTAGTCTTCAGTTTTCCTAACATGCTTGCTATTGAAATGGTGGAGGAAGGCAGAGAACCCACAGAAAACCCATGCATTTAATAGTTAACATTAAACTAATGAGAGAATGCTGTGCTTTGTCTCAGACTGACTCATCAATAAAACCTCCAGAGACTGACCCTCTGCAATACATCTCGCTTGGCATCATGGCTGGTCTCATAATTGTGCTTGTTGTCCTCATCACTTCACTAGTATGCACTCGCAGAAAGTAAGTACTTTGGAAGACTAAGGGCTATTCATTCATTCGTGGGTCTGCAACCTGCGCTCATCAACTATCTTCACACTCCAGCTACAGGAGGAAGCTGAAGGCAGCAAAAGCCATGAACTCTGCAACCATGGTGGCGTCTGACAACCTCAAAAGTGGCCCTGTGGTGCCAGGGACCAACAAGTACACCATGGAGGGGTCAGATGACAACACCATCATTCATATCTCAGCCGGTGCCTGTGAAAATGTGCTTTCTTCCCTAATTCCATGCCATCATTTGACACTTTTTCAGGGCAAACCCAGTTCTAAATCTCAACATTGACACAGCTATGGTGCTCGACCTGGATGGGGAGAGCTCAGATGTTGACAAAGTCAGGTAAACTGAAAACTGTTTCCACAAAGTCACTTGGTAACACCGAATTGTTCCTAATATCTTGACATGTTGAAGAATTAAGATTTAAGTGGAATTAACCAAAATGATCGATTAATTTAATGACATTATAGATGGGGACATGCGTCAACTGACATTATTTCTCAAAAGATGAATGTTACATGTGCTTTTCTCCCTCCACTCATTTCCCAACCCAAGCCTCGACTCCCTGGACTACAGCGATGACATGAACACATCCGGGAAGGATACAAAACCTGTTATGGTAAACAACACACTGGAACCCACCTCATTTTGTGTATTTTTAGTAATATAGCGGCCTAATTCTTGAGCTGCTCCTCATCAGCGAAAAATCCAGGAAGAAGAGGAACCGGAGGACAACGGGCCCCCTGAGTACATTGAACCTCTGGGCGCGGCTTTGGCCCAGCGGAGCCAAAAAAAAGGTTCGGACAGTCACAGAGTGGGTGTCAGCAACCCTGCATTCAGCACAACGGACCTGTGATATCATCGTGGACAGAGACCACAGATGTCACCTCCCAACCAAATTGACAATCAAACACAACCATGTTGGTGTCGAAGAGGCGTTATGAAATCTTGCGTAAGATGTTCACATTGAAATGGTGGACTGACTATTGTGAGGGTTCATTTTCAGCACAACTCAAGGAAAAACCAAAAATGACACCAATGTCACAATGTCGCATTGGCATTTACCGAAATATCCTTGTTTTGAATCATTTTAACTCGTTGTGTTTGTCAAACAGTTCAACAACTGATTAGACTTTTATCCCCATGTTAAGGGAAGCCTCTCATCCATCCACGGCTCAGTTTGAAGTTTGCACTTCAATCACTGTTGATTTTTTTTTTTTTAATTTCAAATCCATTGTGTTACATAAAAGGCAAAATCATCAAACCCTTTTCACTGTCCAAATAAATCAGCACATAACTGTAACTACTCATCATTCTACTGTCACAAGATGCTTTATGAGAGTATCAGAGAAGCACATTTTTTAGCTCAACTTCGATCAGCTGCCATGGGAATCTGGATTTGTATTACACTCCTTTTGAATCAAACGTTCATTTTTCAACCAAATCCTACTCCTTCGGTACACTTTAAAAAAACATATCACATCATGTACACAACAGTGGTATTGATCTTGTTTTGTCACAATATTCCTTTCCAATGTCATCACACTCTCATAAAACAGAAACCACGGGAAAAAGCCATGTTTTGTGCAGACTGTCATCTTTATTTTGATCAATGTTAAAAAGCAGTTTGTTTTGCTTTCAAATGAACCGTGTCATCAGTTCGAGCAACACCCGATGCAGCTGATGCTACCCTTTCACATAAAAAAGGTGTATTGCATTGCCTCAGTGGAGGACGCGAGATTGTACTTCTGTCAAAATGTGTAAATATACTTTGTTTGCTGGTGTTTACATTGACTTTTTGTGACTTCATGCAGCGTCAGCTCATTACTAAAAGCGTTGAAAAAAAAGTCACATCGAAATGAATGTATAACAGTGCAATAAATGAATAAACAAATACCTCCAATGTAGATGTGACAAATTGTCTGCACAGCAATGTCACAGACCATCAACTCTGAAAACAACTTTCCATCAACGATGAGAGAATGTAAGACAGAGATAAAATGGCTTTATTTTTAATCACAACTAAAGTAATATAGCAAAAAATGGCTGCGAGTACGACCTGCATAGCTGAAGTCATAACGTCTGATCATGATTGTGTTTCTGTGCTTGGATTGGTGCATTTATCCACATTTCCACAAAACCAACAAGTCCAAAATCAATGCCGAATAGAAAAGCAGAGTACGAGACATGACACAAAAGCCTGCGCTGACATTAGGGACTCCGTTCACACAACAGTAAGATTTGAAGTTGACATTCTACACAAAATTTGCCCTCATTTAACAGCACGAAAGAATCTCAGTGACCTCTAGGTCGTCACCCTGTTCCGGCACCATCCATGCAGCTGGTTAGACGGGGCACTTTGCTCACATGGCTTCATGTTCAATTTTGAACCGCTTTACGAATAAAACTTACTATATAAATGGACAGTAAAAAGAATCAAATGACAGCATATACAGTACCAGTGGTTCTTAACCTGGGTTCGATCGAACCCCAGGGGTTCGGTGAATCAGTGTTAGGGGTTCAACAGAGCCTCTGCCATGGAGGTTATGACACACCCGACTCAACATGTCAATTAGTTATGACACACCCGCTTGGCCATCACTGGCTGGTTCATTTTGTGCACAGTTAAAACACGTATACTTGACATTTATACGAATTGTGTTTACTTTTTTCTGTTTTTAATAAATGCATTTTTTGTCTTGAATTTGTAAAAAAAAAAAAAAAAGTCATTTTTATTTTTCACTAATGAAGGGTTCGGTGAATGTGCATATGAACTGGTTGAGTTCGGTACCTCTAACAAGGTTAAGAACCACTGGCATCGACATTTCGGGAGAAGAGCAACGGCAACAATGACATTAAAATACAATGTGACCTCCTGTTGTGAATGCGGCAAAGGTGTGATGGCAATAGTTCATGTTCCTGCTGTGACAATGTAATTCCCTCCACGAGACGAATAAAGAAGCTATCTATCTATCTATCTATCTATCTATCTATCTATCTATCTATCTATCTATCTATCTATCTATCTATCTATCTATCTATCTATCTATCTATCTATCTATCCATCCATCCATCCATCCATCCATCCATCCATCCATCCTTCCATCCATCCAATGGACCTTATTGTGACATGGTCTGGGTGCTCAGTACTTAAAATTCGAGAAAAATAAACGGTAAATACACAAATAACTTTTTAACTGAGGAGATGCTAATGCACTTTGTACACTAACTAGCAACTACAGCATGCCACTAATAAAAATGACTCGCATGAAAATGCTGCTGAGAAACTTGCCAACAAATGACAAACATACTTTTACTGCGTTGAAAACATTAGTTCCCAGTAATTCACAACAAACAATTGAGCATACATTACTTGTACAGTGCCTACAAACAGAGGCACCGTGAAGCTCAAGATGTGTTCCTACACTGCCTGCCGACAGACACGTGTACTGTTCAGGGCTGCAGGAAGCTGGAGCCTATCCCGGCTGACTTTTTTGTTGCCGATGGAAAAACATCAGTGTAATAATTCCAGCAATCATATAAAACTCTTCTAGGTGACATGGGTCCAATAACACTTTCCTATTTTTTTGTCCATTACTTGTTTGTTGAGCGTGTTCAAAGGGTAAGTTAGCAGTTAACATCGCTTTACAATTGTACAATTGCTAAAAAATTGTTCTTGGAAAAACAATTACCGGTAAATAAAATCACATGAAGAACGAATTAAGGTTTTGTGTTGGCTACAGTTACAGCCTGGTTGTGGCAAAGCTGGAGCAAGTAGAGGCTGACTATTTTCTGTCAAAAGGAGTTATAAAATTCACAATAGGTGTTTGATCCATGAATCGGCTCCTTACGTTTGCAAGCAAGTCCACTTATTTTTCTCTCTGTCAGTCTTCCGGTCTCTCTCTCTCTCACAACCCGCTGATGACACTCTTTGGTCAGCGGCCATTTCCTTTTGAGAACATCCTATTTGAAGCCTCCCAATGGCACTATTGAATTAATCAATTGTTAGATGTTGTCTTGGTCTCTTGAGGTCAAACAGTTAGCAACCTGATGAAGAGGAGTGCTTAAATACCAATTTTAATTGAACCAGCAAATGTATTGGTCAGTTCATGGATCAAACACCTGTTATGAATGCATTTTCCTGTTCAGCTCCTTGTTAGAAAACAGCAAGTTGTCCACAAGGTACTGAAATATTGAACGGTGGGACAGAAGTTTCGAGAAGGTCAAATAAGTTTACCTGTAAAGAAGGTAGCGGATGTTAGGTTCATTCAGAAATTTCTCCCGAAAGCTGAATACTGTATCACAAACTTTTTCTGAGTAGTGTGTGTTGTGGAAACGTTTTGGAGCAATAGAACAGCCTGAAAGTGAGCCAGCATCATGGAATGGATTATGTTCAACTTTGGAGGTTCCACTTCATCACATGAAAGAAAGTCGAAACTGGCATGAGGCATCATGCGGTGCTCTGCCAACCTTCGCCCCAAAAGTCACCTGGAAGAGGCTCCAGCTCAATCAAGACCCTGAACACGGTAGGTGGTAGTAAATGGATGGACAGACGGATCGGCATTCACCAGTCACTCTGTGGTGTGCGCCCGAGAGCAGCAATGTGGCTGCTGCATGTTCTCCATCAAGAGCCGAAACGGGTTTCTTCTGTTACGGCCCACATTGTCATCCCGCTCGCTGCTCTTCGCTGCCTGACACCTGCTCGACCCTCCTTGGGCTGTTTCATAGGCCAGCGGTGTGGCCGAGGGGTTGAGGGGCGGAGGGGGAGGTAACGAGGGCTGCCTCTTCTGCTTCTTCACCTGTTTCTCCAGGTGCTTCTGGATGGCCGAGCCCAACACAGCCACTTCCACCACCGCCCCGTACACCTCCCATGTCATGCCCTTCTCGTCCCAGCTCACCTCCTGCACCGCCTCCTCACTCTTCTCCTTGCAGTCATTTTCCTCTTCGGCTTCTTCCGCCACATTTTCCGCCGTCACCTCTTCTTTTCCCTCAACTTTAACTTTACTTTCCTCCTCCGCCTTCTGATCCTCTTCGTCCTCATCATTCTTTTTCACCGTGCTGGCTTCTTTTCTGATCTCAGGAAACGTGGTCACGGTGGGTGTCCTCGGAGTCATAGGTGCCGTCGCAATAGAGCGATACTGCACTTGCTGACCCACTTGTATCTCTGCATCTGTCGTCCGGGCCACCGTTCTTTGGCAGTGACTTGGAAAGTGGAAGGCGTGATCGCCCTCAGGAGGGGTCATAGGGCTGGTGGCCGCAGATTGACACTGCACCACTTCCAGACTTACTTGCGTGCGGATGTTGTGGCAGCCTTCTGGAGCTGGAGATTCCGGGACAGGCGGTTTTGACATTTCTTTTTCCTCGTGTTGAACGTGTTTGATATCAGGTTTTAGAGGTGTTTGCTTGGTGCAAACCGATGTCTCACTTGTTTGCATTTTGCTTTGAGTAGACTTTGCGTTTGATTCCTGATAAGGATCAGACGCTTTTGTTGAGGCATTTTCCTCCCTCTTGAAATCTTTGTTGTCACTTTCTTCATTTTCTGTCTTGGTTATCTCTAGGGGATGAAAAGATGACTCCTGGCATTCTCTCTCTTCCATCTTGTCATGATCATATTGAGTCACCAAGATGGTAATATCTTGGTCCATACTCCCCATCCGTTGTTGCTTGCACTGGTGATTGCTATCCTCCACTTGCGACTCGGGAGAACAGGCGGCACTTTCTGTAGAAGACTTGATGATTGCGTCAGACTCGGTTTCTGCTGGACTTTTTGTTGCGGGAGTAATCTTTTGTGTCCCACTAACATCTCTCCCGGCGAGTGCTGGGAAAGCTGTGGTCGAGGGTGTCTTTGGAGTCATGGGAGATGTGGCGACGGAGCAAAACTCCACTTGCTGACCCACCTGCATTTGAGCATCAGCTTCAGATCTCCGAAAGGAGTTTGGGAAGATGAAAGAATGAGCGCCCTCGGGTGGGGTCATGGGGCTCGTGGCAGCCGAGTGACATTGGACCACCTCCAGACTGACCTGCGTACGCATATGGTGCTGCCCAAAAGGTGCAGGGGAATTTGGGTCAGAGGGGTCCGCAGTTGACGGCAAAGAAAATAAGACTTTGTCTTCAGGCATGTTGTCAATGTCTTGAGTGGCAACATCTTCATAGTTGGGGGGCTCATCCACGGCGGTTGTTCTGTCACTCCCAAGTTGTTGTTCCAAACAGACAGCTTCAATCTGCTCACTGTCTTTCACGCTTAGAAAATCTGAGCGTAGACTATTATCACAAACCTTTCCTGATTTTGCATCCTCTGGTTTCTCCACAAATCTCTGATCATCATTGCCACTGCTGACATCATGGAGTAGTTCTATCTGATCGCCCCCGCGACCTGTTGATTCTTGAGAGGTGCTCATTAGCGGTCCTTCAAGCGTGGGGTCCGCATCCGCACACTCACCATTCTCTTTACCAAAACCTCTCGTCTCATTCTTGAGACTTCCCATTTTGTTCTGTGGAAGATATTCCTGCAGGGAAAAAACACAGTGCTGATCGATATTGTTGGTTCTAACCAGCACATTATGTAATCAGACAAACATCTGTTTTACATTGTTTTCTTTGCACTGTTAAATACACAAAAATCATTAAATAGGACACTTTGAACTGAGATGAATATTTTGTCCTACATTTCGGCACACTACAGTGGTTGCTTGTTTTTTGCACAACATACTGTGATTGTCTTATTTCATATGCTTCAGTTAAATGAATAGCATCAAGAAATTCAACCAAGAGAATACACAAGAGCAACATGGATCAAATCAGACTATACAAAAATGCAAAAAAAAAAAATAGACATATCCCAAAAACAAACACGACGTGATAAAACAAAGAGCAGTAAATTTTACCTGAGCAGTCGCTTCAGTCTAAGGGAGCCTCCGCAAGACAATCTGTCACATTGCAGTCAAACATGGTCCAAACTTCAAGTTGATGGACACTCTCTATTTAAGGTGTTCAATTTTCCTGCTTTTGACTAATCCTGAGAGCTGTGGCTAAAGGTTTGTCTGTAGAAGAATCTGTCTGAGGCAATCGTAGCTCCTGAAGCTGTGGCTGCGGCGCCTGTTGAAAAGCTTCACATTTCCAGTTTCCCTGGAAACCACAGTCGGGTTCTTGTGGTGAGTGGTAATGTAATGTGGGGGGTTGGGGGGGGAATCTATGTTTGGCTCTCATCTACTCATCCATTCAGAGTAATTAACGTCTCATTCCGGGCTTGGTGGGTTCAACAATGGGGTGAGCAACAATATCTCGGGATGGAATGAGCTTATGAAGGGAAAATGCATAATGCACTTGATGGATGTGTCAAATTAGCATTGGGCTGCATGCACGTTTCGGCAAAAAGTACATCGGAGGCAAGCTCACTGCAAAAAGATGACAAATACATTTTCTCTGCAAATTTAATATTGGTTTCGACAGACTGGTTACAAGATGGATAGAAAGCAGGGTCTTGTGAAATATCGAAATTGAATTTGCTGTGTTGCACAGAAAAGGAGGTTAGAGCCTGAAGGAGGCTGAAGGAAGCCACCCACACATAAACACTTGCACGCCACTTGGTCTTTTATACACCATCCATGCGCTCCTATTTAAGACCTTGAAAGCATCACTACATGTGCTCATTGAGTGTATAGGAACGTGTTTACGTTTTCCTAATTTGCCGGGCTTCAATTTCCGAATGGTCAACAATAATACGTTGCAGCTTGGCTAGAACACGGTGTGCTGACTGAAGTATTCTCAACACTAATTCAAAGGGCTCCAGCAATCCCTGGCCCCCGCGGAGTTCTGTTGCTTAGCAACCTCATAGTGTGATGGAAGGAGGTGTGTTGCCGAGGGCCAAGGTAAACCGACACACTCTAACGAGGCTGCCAAAGGCCGTCTCATCAGCAAGTGTTGCTGATCATGATTGACTGTCGTGAGGACTATCCAGTGTTATCTCTACACACAGAAAAGAGGAAAGTTTTGATTTTTATTTCCAAAAATAGTCACAAATACAAAATATATAATGGTTAGAAAACAGGTAGAACCAGGAAAGAGGGGCAAAATGCATTTTTTTTGGAATGTTAGTTAAGTGTTGTTTCCAATGATCCCATTTCAACCAAGTGACTTGTCTAAAACCTGTCGAAGATGATGATGATGGTGATGAGTTGGCTTCAGGTTTAGCAAGACGAATGAGGAGATCATTTGGTCTCCCGTTTCTGTCCTAACTCCTTGATGGTTTCTGTGGCCTTGTCGGCAGCTTTGCCTATGGCTGCTTGGCTCTGTTTGCTGGCCTCTTGAGCAACTGCATGCATTTCGAAAATCATAGAAAACATTTTGGATCAGGTCAGCATGTTATCAGCACTCACGAGTTAAAAGTATGATCCACACTTGATCATATCCATTGACATCCAAGACAAGAACAATGCCAAACAGATGAACTTTCAAAATTGTTTTGTTTGGATATGACATTGTCAAAGTTACTTTTGCAAAGGGGTGAAACATTTCTGAGAAAAAAATTAGTGGGGGAGTGTCTAAGTTTATTCCAGTTTATTGAGACTTTTAAAAGCTTCTTTCAATGAAACTGATTATTGACTTTCATACATTCTATCTAAGTAAATAACCACATTTCCTATAACCGCCTCTGTCCTTTCCAGATCTTTATACATTCTTAGACCTCACAGGTAAACTTTCTTACAGTGAGTAAAATATACAACTAAAACCGATAATTATTCATATCCTGGCCTAAATCAAAGCATACTGAAGTGTATAGTGTTGTTTTACATTTATTTTTAATCAACAAAACTGCAATTTACAAAATGTTTATTTTTCTCACGCAAAGCCACACAGTGTACTGCCGCCTTATGGCTTGCTTTTCACTACCTCGTTTTCCTTAGCTCTGAAATGCAATCATCAAAATAAAAACGAAATAAATGGGTTTGCACGTAGGCGGCAAGGTGGTGGACAGGTGAGCACGTCGGCCTCACAGTGCAGAGGTGCAGGGTTCGATTCCGGCTACGGCCTTCCTGTGTGGAGTTGGCAAGTTCTCCCCATGACTGCGTGGGTTTTCTCCGGGTACTCCGGTTTCCTCCCACATTCCAAAAACATGCATGGCAGATTAATGGAACACTCTAGATTGTCCCTCGGGGTGATTGTGGGTACGGATGGTTGTTCGTCTATGTGAGCCCTGCGATTGGCTGGCAACCGGTTCAGGGTGTACCCCGCCTACTGCCTGAAGGCAGCTGGGATTGGCTGCAGCACACCCGCGACCCTTATGAGGATAAAGCGGATTGGAAGGATGGTTTGCACATATGTTTTTTCACTGAACCCCTAAAATAAACGCAATTTTCCCCAATATTAAAATTTATAGAAATGCTCCTCGATTTTATTTCAACTTTCTCAAACTGTGGCTAATTTTAGAGCACTATGGACACTCCATAGACACTACACAATCTACCAGTGGTTTACAAGATACAGTATTTGCGGCCTGCTTTCCTTTTTTTTTTTTTTTTTTGCAGCTCGAGGCATGTACTGTCCTAAAAATAACTTTTCACATGGCTCACAATGTTTTTTTTTTTTTTTTTTAAGGGGTAGGGGTAGGCAGTAGTTTTTCAAAATAACAATATTATGCAGACAACCCGAGTGCTTGCTTGATTATTTCACTGTATTTGAAGCACAGTAATACCATTTCAAAATAGTCGGTGCATCTTTCTATTTTTCCGTATGCAATCCTTGGAGGAAAAAGATTGAATACTCCTGCAAATTGCAATACCATATTCTAACCACGTGTGTGTGCAGTCAGTGAGAAGAAAGATGGTTGAAGTGCACACAGTACCTGCATTGGCTGTTTCTTTGGATGAGTCTGCCACCTGCTGCACAGCTTCCTGGGCTGCCTGCACTGAGACCACACAATGTTGCTTCGTGAAATGAATTCTTGAAAATATACCAGTGTCCTTGTCGTATGTGAGTGTATTTACCTGCGGTTTCCGTGACCCCTTTGACTGCAGAGTGGCTGCTGCCTTTCAGACCCTCAAAGGATTTCTTCAGCGAGGCCATGGCTCCACTCCTGGTCCCTGCGGGATCCACTGCATGGGTCTGAGTAGACTGCAGCCCGAACTGCTGTTTAATACCTTCGGTTTGAGCCAGACACTGGTGAGCCTGCACGTTCCAGTTGGATTAACCCGGACAAAACCACCTGAAAAAAGCCCGGCCAGACTGGCATCCTGGCAGCTGTGCCAGGAGCCATCGCAGCAAATTCTAAACATCCTGTCCCGTCTGATAAGAGCAAGCAAAAAAGACAACCCTGGTTTCGTAACTGAACTAATCTAATGAGAAATGAAAAAGTTATCAATTCTGACAAATTCTATTTTTTTTCCACTTTTTTATTTACAGGGATTTGCATGTCTGGCTTAACACATAAACCTTTTATTGACAAGTCCTGCAACTTAAAGCACATTTTTGAGATGACAACCATCATGATTTCAAGACATAATATATTGACTTTAAGTTGTTAAAATTGTCAGTACACACAAACACGCCCACACACAAACATGTATACGGTCCATGTCCAACAGATAGTTTACTGGAATGATTTCACGAGCAATTTGAAACAAATTACAAAGTAAAAAATTAATTCTTACTTTTAAAAACATTCAAAAGACGTTCCAAAAGGAATTGGAAAAACAAACCAAAAAAAAAAAGGAACTCCACAAACAGGCATTGTCGACACTTAAAAGAGGAGATCATTGTATTAACATTTGCTTGCAACTTGGACTTGAACTTTTTTTCTGCTCCCAATGTCTCATTGGAAGTTGATGAACATCTATTACACATTTCTAAGTACATATACACACAAAATACACATTCACAAGCCCTGCTTCTGGTCTCATTTCATTGGGAGGGAATCAAGGAAATGAGACTGTGAAGGACGATCCTACATCTCAATAAATATCGACACGCAACACATTACATTAATAACATTTACAATATAGAATCATAAAAGATTTGTCTTGAAGGAAGAACATTTTTCAGTGGGAATTCTTGTCTTTTTTGGAGGGTTTTTTTGGAAACAGGAGAATAATTGGAATAGTATTTGTCCTTTATTAGAAATATTATTGTGCTGCTGGTTGAATGGTGGCTCGCACTGATGCTTTTATGCTTCTGGCTCGTAGTCTTGGCTTTCCTGTGGGGTGAACAAACATGACGTGTCATGAATTGTCAGACACTTAATGAAGGGATACACTGTACGTTGCCCAGTATGCACTCTGTGTTTTGGCTACAATTGCTGTACTGTACATCCAACAGAAGAAATTTACCAATAATTCACCCCATTATAAAGTTTTGGTTCTCAGACAGACAAAAATTGTGTTAATGGGATTCCGAAACAATCATTGACTCGGAGTTCCAAGAAAAGAAAGGAGGTCATAACATCATATCAAAGTCAGACTACTACAGACTTGCAGTGGAGTGTGATTTGTCAAACTTAACAGCAGCGGCATCACTCAAAAGAGCAAAATTTGTCCTTAATTGTATCCTTGATTGTAATTTGAATTCTATTAATAGATTACCCATCCATTTTCTAATCCGCGTATGGTCACAAGGGTCGCGGGGTGTGCTGGAGCCTATCTCAGCTGTCTTGCGGCAGTAGGCGGGGAGGACACCCTGAACTGGTTGCCAGCCAATCGCAGGGCACGCAGAGACAAACACACTATTCATACTCACAATCTCACCTCAGGACAATTTACAGTGAACTATTAACATGCCATGCATGTTTTTGGAATGTGGGAGGAAACCGCAGTATCTGGAGGAAACCCACGCATGCACGGGGAGCACATGCAAACTCCACACAGAAAGGCCGCAGCCGGAATCAAACTTTCGTAAACACACATTTTACCGCTCCACCATCTAACAAGTTCATACAGACATGTAACTGCCATATGTTGATACTCAGATGTCTAGTTATTATGCCAACATGGTCTAGTACAATAGCTAAATCAAAATGTGGCATCAAGACCGATAAGGTAATAAGCAAGGATATGCTACGGTGTTGCCTAAACTAGTATCTTATCACATTACTCAGAACTAAATACTGCTTACAGCACTCGGAGGTGGATTTGCACTGGGAATTGTCATGACATGCTGTGATATTTTGACAAACGCAAGCTGACTATATTTACTGCCATTTCAGGTTGGCATCAGTATTTTCGAGCATCCACAAAAATCAACACCAAAATCAGATATGGTTCCTTTGATCCAGGCTCTTAATGAAAAAAATTAAAGTAGTGATGTCACAGAATTCTTCAAAACAAAATGACTTCATGGGCATGCTACGTTCTGAGCAACGTGGTATCATGGAGAAAAACGAGGACGTTAAGGCATTCCAATACCGCCAGCATCCCATTAGTTCAGGAGCGGACACACTTTTGTGCTCAAGGACCACATTTTATTTTTAAATCGGACAGGATGGCCATAGCTAGACGTTTTGGGGACGATGAAATGTGCATGGGAACAAAATACTTTAATTTGAAAGGATTATTTCAACTATCAAATTATTTAATTGAATCAAAAATGTTAATGTAAAGCAACATTTTTAAAAAATCAATCAAAACATGATATAAGGGGATAAATGATAAATAAAAGTAAAGACAATATTGCATTCTTATGAGATCCATGTCAGCCTTTTGGCATTTAGCGTGACAATACAATATTTCATCATTCACATGCGATTTGGGGGGGGGGATTTCAATATTATTGGGATTGCAGTTTTTAATGGCTCTTTATGCAGCTAAATAAAGCACCCAAATATGACATAATTTCAAAGAACAACGAATTAAATCCCACTCATTGGTTTCAACCAGGTTTTGTGGCCCAGCATGTCCAAATCTGAAAGATGACGTCAGTGCACAAATTGTACGTAGTTCAATGTCGCTGTGCAGCCTATAGAGGGCAGCACCAGGCTGCACAAGAGCTTCAAGGACGAGTCGTGAGCTCATCCCCAGCATCGTTTTAACTGCCTCACGCCTACCGCTCACATAAATTCACAGGCTCTGCCTATGTGTGATGCTCCTTGGTCACTTGATGTCTTCATTAAAATTAACTGAGTGGTTTTCCATCAACCCAGCCAGAGTGAGGTTTCACGCAAATTCTTCCTGCACCACAATCCACATTTACAGCAATGCAGGGAGACCCTGGTGTTACCCACAATGCACTAAGGCTGTGGACGTCATCACCACACCCGTTCAGACCATGAGCGCGTGCACTGCTGAGAGTAGCGGGATGGGGGAGGGGAAGGACACGCAAGAGGAGGAATGAGAGAACATGGATGGCATGAGCCGCTGCCTGGCAGAAATGGGAATGATGAAAAATACAGTTTTGCTCATTTGACTGACTAGTGCAGTGAAGTGGAAGAAAGGAAAGGACAACGGAAACACAACGAAACAACGTCTAATGAGATCAAGGAAAAGGGAGGGAAATGATCAACTCAAGGCATAAAATGAAAGTCTTTTTTAAAAAATTTAATCCTCTTCTATATTAAACAGAAAACATTTCGTTCCTGTTTAAAATCAATACACTTGCAAGCAAAAAAATGGGAAAATTGTGTATTTTAAACGTAGTTATTCATAGGAAAAATGTACCATGTGTGTCACGCTTGCTCTGTAGGTTTACTTATTGTGCAAGCAATCTGTTAGGATGCAACATAAGAGCTGCAGTACAGCATTTTGCCTTTTAAGAGATACCCCGTAATAATAATTTGTCTTGACAGATGTAATTTAACAAAACTGTGAGTGTAGCTTGCAGGGATGTGTCGTGAGTCACACTCGGGGGTGTTTAAAATATCATCTTGTGCAGTTGAGTGAGGTAACTCAAACATAAACGCCTCTCAGTATAATTGTAATCAACAATCAATTCAAACAGCGTGACTCAAAGCAGGATGAAGTAGATGCACGGGTGGAACAACGTCATGCTCTCAGGCCACCCCACTGGCCGCCCACTTGTCTTGGTGAAGATTTTGACAAACATGATTCTGTGTTACAGATATTTAAATCTGCCTCACTGCCGTTTCCACACGGTCACATTACATTGAGGCACGTTGATGCTCTGCCACCATATAGAGTCACCACCCATTTAAATAAGTGCAACCGGTATTAAGTCAAGCATAATATACCAACACATGTGCTCAAAATACAAGCAGGGACACATGTTTAGAATTGTGAAGAAAAAAAGAGATTGTTGTGTCATTGTGCTTCTTTGATATGTTCTTGGCAATCTGCAAAATGTCGCCAGTCATTGGTGACGAATGATCATATGCTGATGTCTGTCAGTTAGCGAATCAGTGCTTGTGGTAGACTCTATGAGATATTACACTAAAGTAAAGCAATGGTAAAGTAAAAGGCATTTTGTAGTCATTTAAAATCATCGAAATGTTGCTTCTTACTTAAGATTGTTTCCTGCTTGTATTTTGAATGTTTTTAGCAAAATTCTTGATATGTGTGCATTTTATTTCATTAAAACTTGACTGTGGATGGTATGATAAACAATGACTTCTGTGCCATGTGTGCTGGAGAGCCAAGGCAGATGTGGGTGGTCATGTGTGAACTTGTACACATAGGCTACATGTCCAGTATACGTTTGTATACCCAAACGTACATGTGAATGTGTGCATAATCTTCAGGTCTCTGCCTCTGAATGGGTATGATCTAAAAGAGGAGTGTCCAACGAGTCATTCATGGTTGACCAGTAGTCTGCGGAATGGTCCTAAGTCAACCGCATGAGATATAGGGGGAAATAGAAAACAAGGTGTGTGTGTGTGTGTGTGTGTGTGTGTGTGTGTGTGTGTGTGTATGTTATTAATATATCTTTTTTGTGTCATAGTCCTGGGCACCCTAAGCATCCTATCAGTTTCACGCCAAAAAAAAAAAAACATTATAAAAAAGTAGGTCAACTTTAAATTACCTTAACGCATGACCTGCATGGAGCACAGGAAGTTGTTACCGGTCAGCAGCCTGCAAGGGCAGCTAGCGATTAGAGCTGTTGACATATATCTATATTTTGTTTATTTACTTTCACACTGATGGCATTGTAAACGAATCAGAATCTGGAGCACCAGCAGCAGCATTTTAAAATGCTACACGCGAGCGACGATAGTCATGTTTCCGCACTTAACACGCTACAAAGGTACGTTGTTGCCTCGGTAGGCAGTGATTTCCATTATACAGATTCAGCCTTGCCTTGTATTTACTTTATTTTTCTGTTTCGTTCACGTTAGGGTCCGTTATGACTGTTGCTCATCATGGCACGTGTGTTTGCGTGCGTAAACGCGCGTGTGTGTCTATGCATGCATGCACATGAGGTAATGGGGCTTTGCGAGAGGTTGGCTGCTTGAAAAGTAGATCTTCGGTCAAAAACGGTTGGGCACACCTGATCTACAGGGTAGCCTGTGGAAGATAAGAGAGCACACTGCATAGATACAGAAATGTGCGTATTGGAGCCGATGAATATGGCCGGGGCAATTAGTGGACTCACCCCTGACTGTAAAACTAAATGTTTTAGTGTTTGCAAAAAAACATGCAAACAAAAAAATATAAAGAACTCCATTGTGTGATACACAAGTGCGAGTGTGTAGTTGCAAGCTGATCACCTGCTGGGTGTCATCATATGTCTCTCCTTCTGGCTCCAGCATTCCCTCTGACTGGCCCTCCATGGCCTCCTGCCCATATTCCTCAGGCTGCACGTTACAGAGAGAAAACAAATATAAAGGATGACAAGATGAAGTACTAAGCAGACATACACAGAGACATACGGTCAAATGTGAAGAGGTGCACCTGCACAATCGTTTCGGGATGAACGATGTGGAAAATAATAAATTACGACCCCACCCCATTGCGTTTGCGATTGTGACTTGATGTGATCATTTTTTTCGATGTCCTTTTTTCATGTATTTTTTTCAACAAATAAAAGTCATGAATTATTCAGTAGTTCGGTTAAAGGTCCCAAATTTATGAAACAAAATTGTTTTGGTATAATAAACTTGGATTATGCTAAAATAAAGTAAATGGACCATGAATTAATATGAAAGACAGTTTACAATCTACTTCGAGATCATTATATTTGTAGTGGCAGAATTGAGAGTACAGATTTGTTCTGTTTAAATGCAAGTGTGCGTAATGTTTAGCGGAGATTAACTCATGCTATCACGGCTCCCTTAAACCGAAGAGCCCTCTCCCAATGCCAGGAAAACCACTTTAATCTGTTGTGTTTATACAGCAGGTAATACAGGTGGAGTATTCACTTAAGTGACCTCATGCTGACACAATAGGTTATTAACAAAGTATCCACTATTTCCTTTCTCGGGAGTTTGCTCATCAAAGTCTGTGTGACAATGAGACCTGAATACAAAGCTAGTGGGTCACCACTCTTATTTTTAAACCTCTTCTAATCAAGTCAATTAGGTCGGAGAACAGGCAGTAATCCTCTGTGCTCAATCTCACTGCGAGGGAGCCACCGCAGAGACTCCCTGAGTTAAAACCGAAGAACTCTCTTTTTGAACGTCACCTTATTTGGAACGCTTGCAGATTCTGATGACCTCTAATAGACAAGTTGACAATGCGTCTGCTAAAGATGCAGTTTTGTAAAAGTTTCCATTCGTGCTCCTGCTGGTTACAATATACAAGTGCACTGCAACATACTGAGAGGTCTAATAATTTGGATGTTTAGTGACGCAACTGGGACAAAAACCTCCCGGTGTGCCGTATAAATATAATTACCGTATTTTTCGGATTATACATCGTTCCCGATTATAAATCGTACCAGCCAAAAAAATGCCAAAATATATGTTTTATGATCACACAAGGGTTAAGAAGGAAAAAACATATATAAGTCGCACTGGAGTATAAATCGCATTTTTGCGGGAAATTTATTTGATAAAATCCAACACCAAAAACATACATGTCATCTTGAAAGGCAATTTAAAATAAAAATAAAATAGAGAACAACAGGCTGAAAAAGTGTACGGTATACTAACGTTACATGACTGACATGCCTGGTAATGTCAGTAACGACGTAACATATTAAGAGTTATTCAGATAACTCTAGCATAAAGAACATGCTAACAAGTTACAAGCTATCAGTTTCACTCCAAATCACTAAATCCAATGAAATCTTCATCCTCGGTGTCACTTTTAAACAACTCCCCCAACTCGGGAGGTAGACGATGCGCCGCTTCCTCTTCTACGTCGCTTACGTCAGACTCATCGCCGATTTATCAACAGAGGCCGAGAGCGCCCTCTTGTGGTTTAATATGAAAATAACATGTGAAACGACATAATCATGTGTTAATAATTTCACACATAAGTCGCTCCATAGTATAAATCGCACCCCCGGCCAAACTATGAAAAAAACTGCGACTTATAGTCCGGAAATACGGTACATACTTTATTTTACTTTTACAGCACTGGTATAAGCATGTGAACCGTACTACACTAATACAACTGAAAGACATTAAGGGAGCATTTTCTGCTTTTGCTCCGTTGGTCTAAAATGAGGAATCTCATTCCATGTGCAGACGTTCGTGATGTTGTGGCTTCTGATTTGCAGACGTGACTGCTACGAATGAGGTTTGCACGCAACCTTTTGCCCTGGTGTAAAAATGAGCAGCAGTGTTGCTCCCCCACAACCCTGAACAAGCCAGTAAGGTTTACTATCTTGGCAAGGCAGTGCAGAGGATGAGGATGAAGGCTTAGAAAAGGTCGAGGAGCACGGTTTCACTCACAGCCTGCCAGATCTCAACAATATGTCAATATGTGACAGCGCTCATGCACGGAGAGGTCATTTCGGGTGAACAGCACGATCCCGCACATGAATCGAGTCCAGATGTGGGTCAGAATAGAAGACAGTAGGTCGTATAATGAGAATTTTATTCTCCAGAGAAATAATATCATAGGCAGTGGGTGTTTATTTACTCAGGCAGCTCCACCACATTAAGTACTATTTTTCTGGACACTACTCAGCTGTGTTCTTATGCCATTAAATAGATCCTATCTAAAAGCATTCTGTCCAACTACTGGCTGACTTTCTTGTTAGCCGCGTTCACTTCAGCAGTGCACATTGCATCTTTTTCAAACTGTAGAACATATGTCAGCTTAACAGATGTTATGTCTGCTGTGCAGGTGGTTTGGTAAATGGGTCTACCAGGGCACATTTTAGATGTAGTATAAGAGATGAAAAGACCCCTTTAAGAGGTAAGACATATATTCAACCAAATAAGGCGCCCAGAAATTAATATGGAGCATCGAGAGTAAAGTACAATACTTTCATGTCAATTTGTGTGCTGTTAAGTGTTTGGTCTAAGATCAATTGCGCTTTCGACTTCAGTGCAAAAAGTGAAGTTGAATTCAATAGACTTGCATGACTTCAATTCTCGTGACGGCAGCATGAACAGCATCTTACTGTTAATGTAAAATTATTCACAAACGACAAAAAGCATATTGTTTCATCATATTGTAGAGAGCAAACGGTGGCATAATGTACATACATTCATGTCAGATGGGAATTCATCCTTCTTCAAAAGGCCAGTGGCGGCAGCAATGTTCTCCATCGCTCCAGTGGTCTTCTCAGCCACTACGCACACACGCACACGCACGCACGCACACACGCACGCACGCACGCACGCACACACACACACACACACACACACACACACACACACACACACACACACACACACACACACACACACACACCACTTTCAGAAGAGAATCTTTTTGAAAGTTAAAATTTATGCACAGGATGAAGATTCCCTGTGCACATGTCACAATTCTTTCTTTTATGGCTTTGAGTAGAGTGTTGAATCGAATCCCGGCAACTGGAATAATACTTAAAATAAGAACTCACCTGTGCCGACACTGTCTTTGGCTTTGTTACCTAGTTTACAAAAAAAGAGAAACAGAAATAATTTAGACACGGACAAGCATTTAATTGGACTGTAAAATCACCTTTGTTTTGTGGTTCTGGCAAGCCATTCCACTTGTACTTTAGAGAAAGAAATAGCGCAGTAGTGCAAGGCACAAGCCGAGAGGACGAACAGTCCATCACATGATAATCACAGTAAACATTTGAAATATTCCTGTCTCAATCTCAGCTGTGATGAGCTGTGAAGAGAAGCATGGATATTGTAGCTCAATTTAAAACTGGCAGGGAGTCGCATTTGATACACATTTAAAGTACGTTAACCTGCAATAGCAGGTTCAAAAATGCTTCTAAACATTTGAGCCTGATATGATTCTACACCTTGTAGAATCATATCAGGATGGATTAGGCCCGTAATCTATTCGGCCCATTGAAACCGACAGTCCAGGGGGATGTTTCCTCCTGACCACTCGAAAAAAATTCTCTGAAAGATGAGCAAAAGGTCTGCCTGGCTTATATCAGGCCACCTCAGAATAACAAACTTGTCTCACCAGCATTACAGAATGACACATTTACTCAGTGTCCTATGCAAAGGCTAAGTGTAAATGTGATGATTATATTGTCTGGTCCAAAATTGCATCACTTAGCCTGAACCCAAAATAGTCAGTCGTAGCTGACTGTCATTTCCTGATGCATAATTATGATAGTCAATAGGGCAATGTATAAAAATTTTAGCGCTGGATTTAGTTTAAAGATGACTTTTAACAGAAATGTAAGCATCACTGCTTGTGTAACACCCAAAATGGACTAAACGGCTCCACAGACATGAAAGGCAAGCAGGAAATACGCCAAAGATATGGTGCACTAAAAAAAAAAAATATTTCGGGGGTGGAGTTTTCTTTCTTCTGGTATTTTGCTCGACTTTACACAGATAAAATTGAGTGTAACAGGACATTTGTACCGTTGTGAGATGGAATGAGCCTTTTCCTGACCAATCGTGGCAACATCCCTCATTTGCCTTAACATCGTGGCATTCAGAGCGCAATATGCCATGCTTGCCATTGCGTAACAGAAACTGCAGGCTCTCCCCTTGTGGATGATGTAGTCGGCGTGCGTGTGGCATGGGCAATCAGAGAACGGCTTGCACACCTAATCGTGCGTCCATGTATGAAAATAGTGACAGGGGAGCTATTACAATATTTTTAAGATGATAATGATTATAATCCATTCAATGAATTGATTTCTAGAATGATTCAGAGGGATTGCCCCAAGCTGCTGTCATCTTCATGAATGACATTCCATGGCATCCACCACACATTACACCACCGACGCCTTGAGTTGGATGTGGTTTTAGCGAATGTAAAATTTTGTTGACTTTTTGTCACCATATTTGCAGATACGCCAGGGGGCACACAAAGAAGGGCCTGTCAGGTGTAGCGTGTCTACCAAATTCACAAACACGCTTAACTAATCCCCTGCAATGTCACGAAATTTGTTTTTACAACCAAGCACAACAGTGCCAGTCTACCAAAATAGGGCCCATGGCGTTAAACTGTTTTTCACCATGGGAGAGAATTTTTAAACATGAGATAAGACTGATGCATGAAAGTGCCACCTGGTATTAGAAACAATGAACAGTTCCTGACGTGACACGGTTGGCCATTAAAACCTTGTTCCAACTAGCGGCAGGAGTTTAGGGATGTTGTACTCCTGTAATTATGAGCTGTGTGTGAAAGTACTGGGGCATGGAATGATTTGTTTCATAGATATGTAAAGACTCCCACATAGCTCATGTCTCCAAACTGGCCAAAGATACGAAGGCACCGGGGAACAATTAATTCAAGAGACTTAATCAACTTTATTGCTGGTTTAAAATACAACCACAGCATTGTTCAATTGTTTGACCTTTTGGCAGCTCTCATCCATCTACACTTTACTCCACTGGGCTATTTGGCCAATCTACTGCCGCATGTGCACCGTGGTCGTGCATGTGATCTCACAGGGCTCTGGAACTGGGTAGCATCCACACGCATTATTGGTCCCTGAGGACAGTTGAAAGCCAGCAAAGGAGAAGCCCAATGATGAAGCTTTCTAACAAATAGCAGATTCACAGCAAACCTAAGTCGAGGAAATGCATCCATGTGAAAACAACAAGCTAGTGGGTGCGCTGGAAGAACTACTTCTACAGTCCCAAAAAAACTGTTCTATTTTGTGCATAACAAGACAACTGTGCAGGATCTGAAAAAGAGCCAGCATGCACTTTGACTGCTGCCTGACATGTTTACTGCTCATGATGAGTGACAGGCACACAGTAATTGGATTTCAGGTAAGATCTGATTGTGCATACATCTGACAACTTTTTTCTCCACAATGCACCCACACAGTGTGACCATATCAGTGGTGACAACGACCAGGGGTTTCCATTTTGGGTTTTCTAGCAAAGAAAGATTATACAGATATACCTAACGCTGTGTAATGCAGGACTTGACCAATATTTAGTCACTCAACAAGGTAGCAATCAAACACGGGACCTCCAGGACACTCAGGAGACTCTGGTTGCATTTTAAGGATTAACTTCAGCTTTGGCTTTTTCTTTGACTTTGTGAACAAATGAACCTGAAACAGTAATGTGCAAAAGATGTCTTGTCGCCCTGGATGCTCAGTAAAATATGGCCAAGTCAGGATCTAAGAAATGCACATGGAAACGTATGTTTTGTTTTCTCTACAGTGTATCTGATCGGCACATCTCCCAAACACACACCCAATTTTAGCTCGCTTGTTTCTCACTGCATCAACTACGTGGCATGTAAAGGTGAGTACACAAGTTACATTTCTGACGAGTTACTATTTGCAACTGAACTTTGACGCATACTGTACTTTACATATGTGTTCCTGCATGAAAATGATAATAAATATTCTGACAATTCACAACACAAAATAAAAGCTCACACAGAACCTGTAGTTTGGGACATCCCGCTATTGTGCCACCCTAATGTCCGTCAATAAATAATGCTTAACCACTGATAGGGGCTTAGCAAATTACAAAATGAGAAACCATAAGTGAGATGGAATTGTGACATGCAATCTGCAGTGACGTGGTCTTGCAGGAAACAAGATATATATGTCACGAAATGTTGTATGTGTTATATATGTCATACAATATGTACAATATACTCTACATTCATTTTGCTCGCCCATGAGCTTTGCCTGCACATCAAGTGCACAAACGTGACACATGATGCCCCACCCCCAGCCCATCTCATGCTTGTAGCTCTATCAAGTGAGGCGAGAGGCCATAAGGCTATTCAGAGCATCGCATCAGCAATGACTACTCCTCGCCAAAGTGCACTACATCTCACAACACCTGATATCGACGCTATTTAGTAGCTGGTTGTTAAAACCTCTATAATTAATCGCACAGGAGATCGACCAGCATATGTTTAAACACGGGCATTGATCATTTGTCTGGTTGAATTAATCATTGACTTTGGCAGTAACAACATTTTAGCCAGTGTATCCATCTTTTACATACTGTGTTTTGAACCAAAATTGAAAATTGGGTCCAGAATTAGAACAAGGCAGTGTGACTAATCGTTCTTTGTCACACTGTATAACAGTTCCTCGTACAGTGGTTGTCAGTCCCAGATTTGGGATCATCTCACCTACAAACATAACTCCCTCTTTAGTCTTCTCGGCCGCCACAGCAACTCCTTCCTTGGTCTTCTCTGCAGCCACAGCCACACCCTCCTTGGCTTTGGACAAACCCTTCATCAACACGTCCATCTTGGGGGAGCAACTGTGCGCAAATCAACACGTAGTAGTCAATCACCGGGCACAGCCATGCAAAGAGACTCATGCTGATAAAGAGGAGACTGAAACAGTTCAATACATGCAATGGAACATGCAGTGGGTCCAAAAGAGCTGGGGAAATGTGAGGTGCACCGCCCCCTGTGGTGAAACCCGATAGGTGCAGTCCGGCCAACAGGCTTGTAGGGAAAAATAGCCACTGTGTTCACTCACGCATCAGGGCCCTTTTCAGAAACCTCCCCCAGGCATTCAATATTCAAAGCGAAAATATTTCAATGAAATGGTTAATTGTGGAGGGGGTCATTAATTATTGCTCACTTGTAATGCTACGCTCAGTATTGGGGTGATGCCTGCCTGCATGGGAACCCGGTCCTTTTTTTTTTTTTTTGAGGACTGCACAGCATATTCATGGAGGTGAGATTTATTACTGGGGGATGGGACCACTGCCATATCTACACGCATCGCGGTGCTCACACGTACATGGGGGGTAACACCATAAGTGTGACCGATTTTCGCACAAAATGAATATGCAGTTTAAATTTAAACCGGACGCCATTGCTTGTACAGCAGTTTAATTATTTGATGACGCGCAGCAATTTTATTGAGCGATTGAGGGCATTTTCAATAGCAACAAACAGCAAAGCATCTAGAATCAAAAATACTGTATTCGATGTGTTCACGCCAATTCTATAAGCCGTCTCCAAATGGTGGCGGCCGCTGAACAGTAACGCCGAGAAATATCACTTGCAAGCCAATTAACGAATATAAAAGGTATCCCTACCTATTTACAAATAGCCTCGGCTTGTCCGCTTCGTGGTCGATCGAGTGGAACTGTCGTCTTTTTGAGTGCAGAGATATCTTCAATAATCACTACGGTGGGCCTTCCTCACGATGATCTCCACCAACAGTGCGGCTGAGATCGTCACGTACCCCTTCCTTCCCCTCCCTTCCACTCCTACACGCCTCCACCCCCACCGCCAGCCTCCTCCACCATATTGATCACCCCCTGGCTCGATGTCACCTGGTACGGCGAGCAGAAAGCCTTGAAACAGGTCAACATCACGATATTGTTATTGTATTTATTTGTACGCTATTCATTTTTGTATTTCTTTTTTGTAATGGCAACAGCCTGACAAAATGCACCTAAAACAAAAAATGTGAGCTGGTCGTGATGGTCACTGTTTGGAGTGCAGTTGCATGAGTAAAAGCCATTCAAGTCTGTATGGCAACAGCCTGACAAAATGCACCTAAAACAAACAAAAAAAAATGTGAGCTGGTCGTGATGGTCACTGTTTCGAGTGCAGTTGCATGAGTAAAAGCCATTCAAGTCTGTGCAAATAAATCCAGTTTGACTGTTGAAGGTATTCGATGATTACTACACCGAAACAATGCTTGAAATGTAATGCCAAACGCACCACATGGGATTTAGACTAATTCTCTTAAACACAGTATAGCTGCATAGTATTTATTCTCACGACCCAGCCTTGCAGCAAAGCTATCTGCCTTGGGCAAACTGTACTCCTGTTGGTCCATTTCTTGTGTGCAGGTGCTGCTGGTGGATAGTGTCATTAACATGAAGGCTGCATAGCATATTGACTTTTTTTCCCATGCAAGATAACTTGAGCTATGAGGGCCTAGCAAGGTAATTTATATTACATATACACTACATTGCATATGTAAATGGTAGATATTTTCTTTCGTTTAGCCACAACTTCCCAGTACTCTTAACCATCCATCCATCCATTTTCAAGTCTTCTTTTCCTCACAAGGGTTGCAGGTGTGCTGGAGCCAATCCCAGGTGTCTTCGGGCAGTAGGGGGGCTACATGCGTAACTGGTTGCCAGCCAATCGCAGGGCACTCAAAGACGAACAACCACCTGCACTCACACTCACACATAAGAACAATTTACAGTGCTCCATTAACTTGCCATACATGTTTTTGGAATGTGGGAGGAAACCAGAGTACAAGGATAAAACCCACGCAGGCACGGGGGAGAACATGGAAACTCCACACAGGAAGGCCAGAGCCGGAGTCAAACCCTGCACCTCTGCACTGTGAGGCCGCCGTGCTAACCAGTCATCCACTGTGCCGCCTACTCTCCACTGCTAACCCAAAAAATATAGTATATTTTAAGAGGGTTTTTTTTTTTTGTTAATGCAGAAAAATACAGAATAAGGTGTTTATGGTTAACCATATGGAACTTATTCTGGAAATTTGGTTATGATGATGTCATTATGCATATGCACCTTATTCTGGAATTTTCTGTATTAAAAAAAACTCTTAAAGGATACTATGCTGAAATGTGAGTTGTGGAGTACTGGGAGGCTGTGGATAAATAAAACACTGAACTACCTTGTACCTACCTACCTACCTAAGACGAGAAAATATCGTTAACTAATCATTATGCGTAGTTTTTATGTGAATAACGTTGTAAGAGGTCAGTGGAGTCACTATGTGACCTTCACATTGATGCTTTTAAAGGACTACAAGGAGAAAGCCAAAACTATGTGGGTCTGTGCTAAAAAACGTGCACGTTACAAGCTGATTTTTTTCCCCAAGTCGATTCCACCCACCCCTGCTCTCTGACGTGATACAGTGACGTGGTCCTCTGTGTCACTGGGGGAAGGAGGGGGTTGATCGTGAATTACTCCCCCAAATTTCTCCTGGATGTTAGGAAATCCCAGCTCTCTAACTCTCCTTGAACCACCCCCCCCCACCCCCCATCCCTCTTTTGTCGTTGTAAATCATGCTGCCGCCATGTTGGCCTACATTCAAGTCATACTGACAAACGACGGTGTCAGGAGTAACACGCGTTTACTTTGAGAGCGTCAACCATGGTTTTAATAATTCTAATAATCCTAATGTAATGGTTTTAAGAAACATACTGTATTCTGTAGTCGCGTCGACAGTCGAACACCCTAGCTCTGTCCTTGGCATTGATTCGACTCTGTCCATGGTGCTGAAAAAGATATTAGTTACCCACGTGGATGTGTTGCGAAAGACAGGAAAGAGATACCCGTTGGAAAGAATACAGAACAATAAATACCATTTCGCCATTTGACTTTTCAGACACATTTCATCGGAAGAACGGTATAGTCATGGATTTCTTAAGCAATTGTGAGCCGAAGTTGCCCTCTTGTGGTCAAGTATAATAATGCTCGTCTTGTGTTTAAAAGCAAGGGCCAACAGTATAGTCCATTCATCCATTCATTTTCCGATCCGCTTATCCCCACAAGGGTCGGGGGGGGGGTGCTGGAGCCTATCCCAGCTGTCTTCGTGCAGTAGGCTGGGGACACCCTGAACCAGTTGCCAGCCAATTGCAGGGCACACACTGACGAACAACCATCCACACTCACACTCACACTGAGGGACAATTTAGAATGCTCAAGCAGCCTGGCATGCATGTTTTTGAAATGTGGGAGGAAACCGGAGTACCTGGAGAAAACCCACGCAGGCCCGGGAGAACATGCAAACTCCACAGAGGGAGGCCGGAGCTGGAATTGAACCCGGTACCTCTGCACTGTGAGGTCGACGTGCTAACCACTGGAACACCTGGCTGCCTAATAGGAAGTCATAATAATGAATTACACATACTTTGTTTATGTAATTAAGTACATTTTTCACGTAAATCAGTATTATTTTTTTACCTTCTTTTACTCCCCACATTTTAAGACATAAGAGTATTTTCTCCTTACCTGACACTGTCAAAATAGGAATTTTATCAATCTCCATGGATGACGATGCAGCGTTAAAAAAAAAAAAAAAAAAGATAAACCCTGAACTGGTCACCAGCCAATCGCAGGGCACACATGGACGAACAACCATTTGCACTCACAATAACCCCAAGGCGCAATTTAGAGTACAGTATTCCACTGACCTGCCATGCATGTTTTTGCAATGTGGGAGGAAACCTGAGTACCCGGAGAAAACCCACGCAGTCATGGGGAGAACATGCAAGCTCCATACAGAAAGGCCGGTTTTCCCTGGGCACTGCGGTTTCCTCCCACATTCCCAACACATGCATCGTAGGTTAAGTGAACACTCTCAATTATCCCTAGTTGTGATTGTGAGTGTGAATGGTTGTTCGTCTCTGTGTGCCCTGCGATTGGCTGGCAATCAGTTCAGGGTGTCCCCCGCCTACTGCCCGAAGACAGCTGGGATAGGCTCCAGCATGCCCTTGTGAGGAAAACCCTTCGAGAAAATGGATCAATAGATTTTAACGAAGCCCGCTTCATAAGAGCTTTTCCCAGCAGATTCTTTGTTCAACTCGGGAGCTTGTTGTAGCTCCTAATAAGTGTCCAGCCATTGAGGACATCTTCAGTCTTTGCGGTCCATTTAACAAAGACTTCCTTTAGCACACGACATTAGCTGGCACAACACTTCTGATGAAAATGGCTGCATATGTCAATTTAAAAAGGAGGAAAATGGAATCATATTAGCACTTTAGAATTGAACTTTCAACAGATAATGTGTTCTACAGTTCACTGCAGAATGGCATCCAGTTGTTTAAGTGCAAATGGGTGCATTGCAGTGCAAAGAGTTCAAGAAAACATAACAATCCAGCATTCAGGTCACCCTGAATAGGAATTTCGATGATCCAGTCAGAAAAATGGACTTAAACCACCTGAACATGCAATGGGGAGCTCTACACTTCGCTCCTTTGAGTTCATAGGCTAAATTGTTCATCTTTTCTACCCAGGAAAAGGCAAAAAGGCTTTCAAGAGTTAGTTGCTTTGATTAAAAATCTTTCACTATCTCAATATTTCAGCTCATATCTCATTTTAAAATTGTATTATTTCAAATGAATTAACATATTGCATTCTATTGTTGAACATTTTAAAAAGTTTAAAATTGGTCGGTTTCAGCTGGGGCCCTTGGTGTGCAGTGGGCTCGAGGTCAACGAGTTCAGCATTGAACTTTCTTGACACTTCAGGGCCACCATCATTCCTGCTGGTGTTTGTTTCGGAAGGAAGTGTGTCATAGGCCACATTACACTTGCTTTTTGACATTGTGCATTAATTTACAGGATGATTACATCAGTCTGAGAAGGAAAATAATTCATAGAAATACATGCCCAGCTAGAGACACTGTGCAATCAATCGAGTAAATTAAATGTATTAGTTTCCCCTCCACGTTATCAAAAAGTGCATGGGGAAACAAATGAAAAAGTTAATTCTGCAAAAGTAGCCATCGTGGTTTTCAGGTGTGGCATCCGTCCATCTGAAAGGTACACAGAAAATGCAATTGCTGTATGAATGGTAAATTAAAACGGCCGGAACGCACTCCATTTCCCTTTCACGTTCTGATTTCACTGCCTCAGCTGGTGGCATTTTCTCTCCACCTCGAGTGAATTGGCCTTTATCTGCTAAGGCGCTTTTAGGACCCGTGCTCCCGCGGGAGGCTTCCCTTTTACAGACTCATTGAGTCTCAGACAGCCACATGATATAATCCCAATCAATCTGTGTTATAAAACCTTGACATGGCCGCACAACTGCTTTGATTTACACCGACTGGACTGCAAGTGGTTTCCAAACCACGAGGTGGAGATGAAATGAAGTCCAACGTGTATGTGAGACCTTGAATCGTTGGCAAGCCCCAATGTTGTTTTGCGTTAAGATTATACAAACCTGCCGTGTATTTTAAAGGAGAAGAGAATGCGTCACATTTATCATCTCGACTCACCGCCTATAGGTGGCAGCATAGACTGCATCTTCCGCAGAGGCCATTGCTATTCACCTCACACACGAACCATGCTACATATACTCGTGTACCCAAGATACCCACGCATTGGAATTAACACACACACACACACACACACACACACACGCACACACACACACACACACACACACACACACACACACACACACACACACACACACACTCTTCTCTCTAGCCTTCTTGGAGGTGCAATTACAAAGAAGTCTCAT